CTCATTAGGATATGCAATTATAGTGAAGATATTAATTAGTGATATTTTATTTTATTCATGCTGACAATTTTGTCTCGATTCAAACATTATTTCTCCACTCAATTTTCATACACATTTTCAACAAGAAAAACATTTCTGCAAGAGATCTTGACTGAAGTACAAAGATTTTTCACCAATTATGTTAATGAAATTATATATCGAGTTAATGATTAGGAATGCTAGTTAAACTAATACTTTCTGCTTAAAACTTCAAGCAGACTGGAACTAACAGCCGCTCTTTCAGTGGAATCCAATGCTAGCTTAAGAGTTTTCACCAGTAGGAGGTTAATGAATGGTAGGCAATAGATATGAACCGTATCACACTGAACTAGGTTTGGTGATAGTAGCTACAATTATTAGTAGCATTTGTCTGATATATGAGAGATTTCATAAATTTTACGCCCTTTTTATAGAATCAAAATTTACTAATGCATTTTAAATTTCTAATCTTGAATCATATTGGTTTAGTAATAGGTTATATAGCCCATTAGCGGTCGAACAGTAACCAACAGGCATATATTAAATTCGTTATAGAGCCCGGATTCAAATCTCGGGGAACATGCAAGTTGTAACGGAAGTTTTATGGTTTTTCCCGTGTGGAACGTTTCCCTTAGAAAGTCTTTCATCAAGTCACCTCTTCTCTTAGACATACAGTCCTCCCGTGCTTTGCCATCATCTAATTAATCCAAAAACAAATTATAAATGATAGCATAATACGAAAATTTTAGAGCAAAAATTACTTTCATAAAGAAAAGTTATTATCTTGAGCCATGTGTACTTATTTGATTTACTGTACAGCAGTAGAAACGGTTTAACTTCACGGTGTGAAACTTGTGGCAGTTTCGCGTGATTTAGTTCAACTTCTGCTTGTTTTGAGAAAGATTTTTCGGTTAAGCTGGAAACATCCATTTTCGCAAAATTTTAGAGAACAGAAATCAGATATTTCTCATTTTAAGTGAGCCAAAGTGTTGTGTTCAGCGATCTTCCGCTCAGAACAAATCTCAAATAAGCTTTCTGCGTAATACACTAAATAGATAAGTAAAGTCTCTTTATTTTTAGTAGGTGAATAATTTCTTAGGCGAAATACAGGTAAACAACTGAGGGCTATATTGCACAAAAAGTTTTTATGTTATTCTTCGCTTAGACGTCTCGCTACCTCTCTAACAAATTGTTTCACTCCAGAACTTAAATATTTCATTGAATAAATTATTTTTAAATTTAATAGTCTTCTGAATCGGAATTTTTCTAAACAGAAACAGTAAAAAAGTAGATATTCTTGAATAATTCTTCTCAAATAAAGGAAGCATTATATAAATTGTAGCTAAAGGAAAATTAAATAGTGAAAAGACAAAAAAAGGTTTCAGCCCAGCTCCTAATGCAAGAGGAGGCTCACCAGCGGCCGAGCGGTAAAATCGCTGAACACTGGTAGATTCCGACCTAGATTCGATTCTAGACGAACGGGCAGGTTGCATGGGCGGTTTCGTGCTTTAACCATGTGTAACATGTGTGCGAGCCAATTTCCTTTACAAAGTCCTCCACGAAGACATTCCTCCCTCTAGGCAGATAGACCTTGCGTGCTTTGCTATAATCAACTAGACAAGGCTAGGCGTAATGCATGATGAAAAGCTGCATTCAGTAACGCACTTACCGTCTTATAGTAACTTATGATTTTGCAAAGAAAACAAAGTGCATGGTTATTCAAAATCAGTCACACTTTTTTAGATCAACGTATTTTCATAGCTGTTAGACTCGTATCGATTTGATATACATCAAATGGAAAATGAAATCTCTCAGAATCTGAGAATTTCACTAAGTCACTAAACGAAGGAATGTTTGGTGCTGCCACTTAGAAAAAATAGATGTTTCTGAATGAAAATTGTATGATAACTGTACAGCAGAAGAGGGCTTTTGTGCGCTGCTCTTTTCGAGATTTTAATCGGCATTCACCTTCCCCCGCTTTCATTTATATTATAGAATTTCGCTAAAACATTCTTAGCTGGCATTGGCAATTCTAATAAATAGATTGGCAATATTTAACAGTTCTTAATTTCTAAAGTTCCGCATGTTAAATCACATTTTCCCATGTAATCTTTACGCACATAAATCTAATACCAGGAGAAACTTTTATATTTCTGTGCTCATATGTGTGTGTATGTATTGATTTTACATATGTTAACCGTATCAAACATGCCTCATTAAATATTAGAAATCACAGTTTAGAACGTTTTATTAAAAAATACAGTAAAGAAATCATATAGAATAATTAACATTTTATATTCTTTATTTTAATTTTAGTATCCACAAGCGTCAAAGGAATTTCGAAGAGCAATTATTTTCAGTAATTTATTGTTTTATTGAAAATTTCTTTTGCTTAAATTTTCCTCATGCTGACTAAAAATGTATAAAAAATTTTATTCAGAAAATAACTTTCCTTGTACGAAAACTATCTCATTCTTTCATTCTTTCTTTTAATGTGATTCGTATGTAGCATTTTCTTTCATTTGAATAATCATAAAATTAAACCTGATGGGAATAAAATACAATGTCGAATGTCAGGCAAATCATAAATTAAATTTTTTACTACTAGCTATATAATGTCGCCTCCATTTTAAGTTCTTAGCTAAGGCGATATAATTAGTTAAGTTTGTGTAAAGCGCATTCTAATTAAATTAATTTATGAATGAACAGTAATTCGTTCATATTAATGGTTACTCATATAAATTCGTTCATAATGAATTTGTAATATGAATTCGTTCAAATTAGTCTCATTAGTTCAATATTGTTCAAATTAGTCTCATTAGTTCAATATTGTTCAAATTAGTCTCATTAGTTCAATACTGTAAAACCCAAGTTTTATTTTCAAAGGCCTTCTTATTTATATTTTTTCTTTCTCAGTCAGTGCCGGATTTGCGTACAAGCTGCACAAGCTATAACTTAGGGCCACTGCGTTCTTGGGAGGCCCCCAAAATTATAGAATTTCCTTTATAGAGAGCTCTATATTTCAAATAGTTTAGGAGCTGATCAAGTTTACATCCGGCCCTGCTCTCAATTCCAAGCGAAAATAAAATTTAATTTTTCACCATTTCGGCTATAATGATAACATCTTTCGTGCTAATCTTGTGACTAATATTTGTGTTACAAAAATGTAGTTAGTATGATATGGCATGAAACTGTAAACAGAGAAACATATTATTTATACTCTGAAATTCATGAAGACCATAAAGATGCCTAAAATATTAATTTTATAAGCAGTAATTTTATCTCTTAAATAAATTCTTATCTTTCATAATTCTTAAACAAACTAGTAATCCATAAATGGTAAAACCGGAACTTCCTGATAATTATTTATTTCTAAATGCTAAATATTCGCCTCTCGTCATTTTTGTATAGAATTCAGAAGTTCTGTTATTTATGTTTTAAATCTTCCTGTTAAAGTGCTGTTTATTAAAGCAGTGATGTAAAAGAACAAGAGAGAAGTTTCCTATATAAAACATTTATATTTAATATTGAAAACAATCGAAAGAAATCTCCACTTCTTTTCATTAAAATATGGCCAAAATACTAAGAGCAACATAGTTTTAAAACTATAAACATAACTTAGAATTTATTTCGGACTATTATTTGATGAAACTGATAGAAAGAAGATAATTAAAATAATGGAATTATAATGTTTTTATCTATTAAAAGTTGTTACATAAAAGAGGTTACAAACATAACTGAAATTGCATGGCATATGACATGATTATGATAGAATTAATTAGAAAGTTACTGAATTATAGAAGCTCTACAATTTGCTGTACTCTAAAGATAAAAGAAGATGATCGATTTTTCTACTCGATAACTACAAGAATCTGTAAAAAGGAAAGTGTAACCTCAAGTATATAAAGTGAACCGATATATTGTCAAATTTAGAGTACAGGCTACTTTAGTGTATGTAATGTCAATTTTAGAATCAGAAATTTGTGGAACTGCACATAAAATTTTCCCCTTACTCCTTTTCAGCGAAATTAGATTTATCATTTACATCTTTTGATCTACATTCTAATATTTTTTATAGAAGCTTTGAAACCGGAAGCATTAAAACGCCCTTGAAATTACTTAATCTTTTGCAAAATTGAAAAATTCAAGAAATTATTCTAATCTTGAAAAATATTAAAAGTTTAATGTATGCTCCCTCTGATTTGACGAACGAAAAGTACAAGCCATGGGAGTCTACTCTATTTTAAGTGTCACTTGTAATTCTGGATAAATTAAAAGTAGCAGAATAAAAAACATATGAGTAAAGGAAAGCATTCTGCTTTTCACTGCAGTTTTGAGAGATTCAATCATGGAAACTAATGCTTTTTATTCTTTGTTAAGAAACATAAGGAAAATAAAATTATGTTTTATAAAAAATTCCCTTAGTCACTTTAGACGTAAATCATGGTTAGAACATAATCTTAGGAAAAGCTAAAAAATTTATCAATTAGTTTTTGTTTCCATCTATAATTAATAATACATTTAGTATCTCTGTTTGCAGTATAGCAAATTATACTTTAGCCTCGTAATCATATATGCTATTTGATTAAGTGAAAATTCTGCATTGTACTCTTTCCACTAGGTTGATGGCAAAGCATATTTAAAAACATGCTTTTTTTAACTTTCAAGATAACATTATTTTCTAGATCCGGTGTCAGAAACTTTAGTTCTCTTATTTATTGAATAAAAGTTAGAATTCAGTTCTCCTTTGTGGGCTTAGAACACATCGACCATTATGTACAATAAGAAAATAAATTTTAAAATAATTTGTAGAAAATTATAAATTGTAAACGTGAAGAGCTAAATGAAGAGCACTCCCTAAAGTTTGACTCTTTTGGGGATTTGCTTTTCGCGCGCTCAATTACTTTATAAACTTCAACAAGAGGGGGGAAATATGTAATTAAAACTAAAAAAGAGTATAAAGGTTTGACATATAATCTTACCTTGAGAAGCGACAGCATAGCAAGTAACAAGCAAAGGAAATAACCCCATTATCATCAGTTCCGTTGGAATCGGAGCGGAGCTTAGCAACAGGTGTTCGCCTGCGAAAGAACGCGCCGTCTTCTCCGCAGTCCAAAAAATAAGGGAAAAGAACGCCAGGCGGCTACGGCAGCAACTATTGGGATGATCTCATTCCTATTAGACAACGAGAGCTGCGCTAAATTTCGAACAGCTCATCTGGAATTCATTGGAAGTTTGATAAAGGCTTGATGCCCGCCCACTGAAGGTAAATACATGATAAACGCCCACTAAAAAGTACTCCGCTGCGTACAAAAAATTATCGAGAAATCTTAGTTTTTTTTAATTCAAACGATTCCAGAAGTATTTTCAAAAAATCGTTTAATTCTTCGCTTTGACTTTAAAGTTAATATGATGCCTATAACTTATGTTATATCGAGATGTCTTATGTGAGATTTACTAGCACATTTCCCCAAAAGTAAAATTAAACACTCCTTTTTCTAATTTACAAAATTCCAAAACTTTCACAAAACTTTACTGCAGCTTCCCAATGTTTTAATGCTGAAAATAGCATGCATTTTATTCTACCTGTCGAAAACATTTTTAGTGTCTTTTATTCTCTTATATGTTTTAAATAAATTTTTGGCTCAAATTTTTTGAGGATTTCAAAGATAATATTTTTTTTTTTTAATTAAGAATATAAAATAACGTTTCACGAACAAGAAGCAATCGTTATATGCTTATATCACTATGAATTATTACAAAAGTCTACAATTCCTTAAATAACGCTTGCGTTCAAAAATATGTACAGTAGAACTCCGCTTACTCGAACTTCCATAAGCAGAAACTTGCCATAAGTCGAATTGAATATCAAAATTAAGAATCCAAAATTAATGGTAACTTTTCTCGATAACCATAATTTTCAAATACTAGATTTCATTTTCCTTTAACATCCTTTAATTTCGGCTTACCGAAGTTTGAAAATATTTTACATTTTGCGGAGCATTTCTATGCAAAGAGTTAATCAATCATAGTGAAACTCACTCTAAAGAATTAAGCAATTATATTCATACTGTCTGAAGACAAATTCTGACTGTGACTGACCATATCAGTCTCAAGGGCAGTTACAAAACCTTAATGACTAGCTCGTAAATTAATTAAAAATTGGTTTATCTTCTAATTTAGATTATCTAGAGGAACGAGCAAGCTGAGGGAGGTTCCCTTATGATGCATTATACAATAACTTCTTATAAAGACCTCTAACTGAAGGCTTTATTCTATAGCAGGTAGTTTCAAATAATAAATTTCTGATGCAATAAATAGAGGTAATTTTTGCATATGTATAGATTTTTCTTCGGTAGGAAATCGAAGTAAGGACTCGTCGTTAATGCTAGTGGAATTCTCGTCGTTAATGCTAGTGCTTGTCTGTAGAGCTGCTCGTCCAAAGAGAAAGTGAACGCTTGGCATTGGTCACGTTTGGTAAATTTTGTGAGTTAGTTGAGTTTTCTATCTGACTCAGTGCTGTCACTAAGTAGCTTCGTTTAGATTTGTGAAATTTTAAGTCAGCTAATAAACTGTAGTTTAAACAATGAGTCATTGTCAACAGGAAGTTGAACTATTTGTATTATATTATTTTTAGTTTGAATTTCATAAGCTGTATTACACAGAAAACCATGGCATCAATTTGTTATGTAGAAAATTTAGTTGCCATTTTAAATATATTTAAATTAAATTAAACAATTTAATTTAAATATATTTAAAATTTATTATTTTCCAATTTAATTTAAATTAAACAATAATTACGAAAATTTTTGTATAGTGATATGTAGATACAAATATATCCGGAAAAAAGTGAGCTTAAACTAAAAATGGCATCGAGCAACCCATCGGTTTATCTTCGAAATAAATAGAACACTTAAATGGATTAACTTCTGTTTATTTTCTCTCTCAAAAAGTAATTTTTTTTTAATTTTTAATTCCAGTATTACTTATCAAATTTCAAAAATCTGTTTAAAAACCATTAGAATAAATTTCTTCGTATTACATAACAAATAAACACATACCTTAACGTAATATTTTACGATGATAGGATCCCATAGAAGAAAATTAAGCACAGAAAAATCCTTTATTTATTACATGTAACACACAGCAGAGTATCCTGATCCTAATCCTTGTGAGGAGGTTTAAACCTTGCATTATCTTTCGAATTCTTCCGTAGTCGTAAAGAGTGGAATGATCTATGATGAAGACGCTCAAGAACCTCTTCTCCGGTGTCCCATTATTTCAGAAATTTGCCGTTGTACGTTGAGAAAGGTGTCGATTGATCCTGAAAAATACTGTTCGGGTGAATCGCGCGGTGGCTAACACCTTTTCTTTCGAAGTCCACTATGCAAACTCCTTCTTTCTTCTCCGGACCAAGGACCAAAGCGTTTGTTTACGGAGTACCTTTGCAAATAAATGCAATTACCTCCACGTCATCGTTAATAGTAAATAAATTAATTAAGAATGAGCATTCGCTAAATAAAAAGATGGAAAAGCCGCTGGGCTGAAGTCAGAAGATTCATGAGAGGTTGTACGGTTTATATTTATTTTAACTAACATTTATTTTAAATTTAAACTATCTTTCCTGTCAAGCCTTACTTTCCCCTGGAATTGCCAATGCCAGAGTATGTAAATTTTAGTAGAACGCGCAAGGATTCAAATTATCAGCGGAAGTATTCTGAGTTAAATAGAAGGGAAACGAGTTCGAAAGTGTGCTTTTCTTACTTCACGAGCGTGGAGGTAGCTAGTTAGAAATTGAAGAACCACGCGTTTCGGCCTGTGTGCTTACCTCGGCAGTTTGTTAATCTTTCAACGTAATATTCAGAAGTTAGCTGCAGTATCAGCAGTATTTTAGAACGCGGTGAGGTTAGTTACGTGCAGGTTGAAAGCGCGCAACTTTACATTGGCGCCCGAACACTTCTCGAACTGAAATGGCCGAAAATTGCTTATTAATGCCCCTGTTTTGAAATTCCCGGAGGGGGACGAAAACCTGGAAATTGCAGCAGATGCGTCGGACTATGCTGTGGGTGCGGTTCTTATGCAAAATAGCCATCCTTTGGCATTTTTTAGTAAAACGTTGAATCATACACAAAGGAATTATACAGCTACAGAGAGAGAAACATTAGCCGTACTAATGGCCGTACACAAATTTCGAGTTTATTTCGGCAAAGTGCCAGTAACAGTCTTTTCGGAATCATGCGGCTGTTGGTAGACTTTACTCGGGGAAAAACCTAACGCCCAGGTTAATAAGATGGGCTTTAAAACTCCAAGAATATAATCTCATAATCAAATATAAACCGGGTAAGGAAAACAATGTAGCTGACGCACTTTCTCGTATAAAACTGGACGATGAAGGCAATGAACTTAAATGCGCTGTGTTGACTTCAAAAATTTTAGATTCTAGAGATACAATTATTGCTGAATTGAAAGCTGATCCTGAATTTGGAAGTATCTATGCGTATTTGAAAGACCCCGAAAGCTTTGAGCACACAGATATCGATGCGATAAGAAATAGAGCAGAAAACTATGAAATAATAGATAATTTATTATTTTATACGAAAACAACAAACGAAAATCTCGAGTACAAACCAGTCATCCCAGCCTCGCTTCGATTAAGCATTTTGAAGGAATTACACGACGCGAAAACAGCGGGTCATTTAGGGGTCAGAAAGACTTTAAAAAGGGTACGCGAGGCGGTATATTTCCCGCAATTATACAAAATAGTAACTGCGTATGTCAGGTCCTGCAATCAAATGTCAGTTAATAAATGATATTAATTACAGCCCGGCCGGGTACTTAAATAGCATTCGCGCTACATTTCCGAATGAAATTTTAGGCATAAGATCTTCTTGGTCCTTTCCCCCAGAGTGAGTTAAATAAAAATCGTTTTCTTTTAGTAATTGTAGATCATTTTTCAAAATGGACCAGAAATTCTTCCACTTAAACGCGCGTCAGCCAAAACAGTCGCAGATGCATTCTTACACAGATACATTACATTTTACAAAATACGGTGCACCGAAAAAAGTACATAGCGATAACGGTAAACAATTCGTTAGCCAAATATTTGAAAACATATGCACTGGACTTGGCATACGCCATATCAAAATGGTTCCGTATAGACCACAGGCAAACATAGCAGAAAGAGTTAATAAAAACATTGTAAAAATAATTCGAAGTTATGTTAGCACACATCACAAGCGCTGGGATGGCTACATAAATGAGTTAGCTTATGCTTTAAGAACGGCAAATCACGATACTACGGGAAAAACCCCAGCAGAATTATTTTTAGGACGAAAGTTAATTACGCCATTAGATAAATTATTCTTTGTGCAACAAAGAGAGCAAGAATTTAAACAGAAAGATGTGCAAAACTTATTGACCAGGCGGTTAAAAGCTCGGATACGGCAAGAAATAGGCAAAAACTTATACTATGATAGAAAACGCCGTGAAGCAGATTTTAAAGTTGGGGATAAAGTATTGAAGCGGAAATTTTCTTTATCAAGTGCCCCAGACAATTTTACTGCAAAGTTAGCTCCAAAATTTGAAGGCCCCTATGTAATTCAGGAAATCAAGGGAGTCGTATTGTACCTTAAGAACGAGAGAGGGGAAATCTGTAAAGCAAGTCCCGACCAGGTGAAAAAATATTATAATCAAAATGATTTTGAAATCCTTAAAAGTTTCTTGCAGGACTCAAGCGTAAAAGAAGTAGAAGGTCCAGAAATAACGTCACCCGTTCCACCACCCAAGAAGCAGAGAACTGAAGAGAAACCTAGCCCTTCTACAACCCATGCGACGGTACCGAAAAGAAGAAATGAAAACTTTCAGACTCCAGCATTTAAGAAAAACAAGAAAGCAAAGCCGCCGCGTAAAGAAACCTTGGTAAAGAGGAAAACACCACTTACAACGTATCGCAGTAGAAATTATACATCAAGGAGAACGCTCCCAGGGCCAGAGAGTCAGGTGCAAACAAGGCCGCCGTTCCCGAAAACGAAAAGACAGCAGGAGGAACGAAAAGACCACCACCAACAGAAGAAATACAAGCACGACTCCAGACCGGAGGACGCCAAGACCAGCCGTCC